TTGAACACCCTATAACTCTGTAATCATTCTCGCTAGACCCCAAGTGTGATGCAATGATGAAATCAGCTCATAATGGAGAATGCGAAAATACAATGAAATACAGGGTGTCCCATAAGAAAAAGTATAACTTTAATACGCCACGCATTTCTGAGTTACCCTGTATAAAGCGAAATAATTTGGATATGTGCTGCTCATGATCCTAGATCATATCTGAAATTTTTATTCATCTATCTCAAATAGTTAAGCAGTTATCTCACTTTGCCACACTAATGACTCACCCTGTATACCATAATTAAGGGCTAATTTAAGGCTCTAATCCCAGCCTATTGCCGATTTTTTTGCACATTGTTAATTTTTCAATCTTGGGGTTTGCTAGCATTAGCATAAACATTAAGCTGCGGTCTCCTTGAAGGGTGCACCTGAAGATGATATTTCCTGAATATTTCCGAAACGCCATGTGATAAAATGATGTAATTTACATTATTAATTAATTATTATTATTATTAATTAATTCACATATTATTCATAACATTGCAATAAATCGTAGTGGCTATGGAAATAAATGCAAAAGAAAATAGGTTTTCATCATCGTCTACCTATTTTACGCGCAACTATGGAATATTTCGGTGAAAAGAAAGTAGTTGATTTTTTTATAATGATATACGATCGCTCAGTTAATTCTGTGAGAAATACACTTATGATTTCAGATATTATGCAAGATATTATATTAATGTTGAAAATATTAGATTATTCCATTGCTACCCTGTTTACATCAACTTTTTTCTTGCAAATGACTACCGATTAGCTCTGATAATGAATATTTTGTTGAAGAACGTCTTGATACTCTGGTAATCTTGATACAACTCATTTAGATGCAAAAACAAAGGTTGGCAGGATAATATTTTTTCCCGTCACAGAAAAATATATCTTGATAAATATCATGATACTGATGCGACGATATTTATCCTGATATATATCAACTTTTTTTTTGAAATTCTATTGATAAGTATAAACATATGCTGCGATGATTCCCCGTCTTTCCGAGACGTTGAAACTGAACCACCTTTCCGCGCGTGGCATTTTTATTTTTTTGCGATTTCTGATTGAACGGAGAAATATCTTGCCATTTGTTTCATCATTATGTAATACCACAAAATATACCATTTTGCCGGAAATGTTCGGCGATAGTTACGACAGCTTGTTGCCTAATAATTTCGCGAATGACATTGTTTTTCAAAACTTTCGAGCCGTAGGCGAGAAGTTTTGGAACAATGCCATGAGCGAAATTAAAGCACGAGGGGTAAACCGTGGTGCAATTCTGGTGTACAAACAACTGGAATTTCTTGGAATTCCTTGGATTCCCTTTTAATTTTTTGGAAACCCTTGGAATTCCCTGGAATTCCTTGGGTGAAGTGCGGTATATTCCTGGTCTACAAACAATTGGAATTCCTTGGAATTCCTTGAATTTCCTTGGAATTCCTTGAATTTCCTTGGAATTCCTTGAATTTCCTTGGAATTCCTTGAATTTCCTTGGAATTCCTTGAATTTCCTTGGAATTCCTTGAATTTCCTTGAAGTTCCTTGGAATTTCTTGGAATTCCTTGAATTTCCTTGGAATTCTTTGAATTTCCTTGGAATTCCTTGGATTTTCTTGTAATTCCTTGGGAATTATTTGGAATTCCTTGGATTTCCCTGGAATTCCTTGAAGTTTCTTGGAATTCCTGTGTGAAGTGCGGTACAAACAACTGGAATTCCTTGGATTTCCTTTTATTTCCTTGGAATTCCCTGATATTCCTTGGGTGAAGTACGGTATATTCCTGGTCTACAAACAATTGGAATTCCTGGAAATTCCTTGAATTTCCTTGGAATTTCTTGAATTTCCTTGAAATTTCTTAAATTTCCTTGGAATTCCTTGAATTTCCTTGGAATTCCTTGAATTTCCTTGGAGTTCCTTGGAATCCCTGGAATTCCTTGGAATCCCTTGAATTTCCTTGGAATTCCTTGGATTTTCTTGGAAATCTTTGGAATTATTTGGAATTCCTTGGATTTACATGGAATTCTTAGGATTTCCCTGGAATTTCTCGGAATTCCTTGGATTCCTTCGGATTTCCCTGGAATTCCTTGAAGTGTCTTAGAATTCCTTGTGTGAAGTGCGGTACAAACAACTGGAATTCCTTGAAATTCCTTAGAATTACTTGTGGAATTGAAGTTTGGTGTACACAATTTTGACTATGGTTTACCCCTCGTTAAAGCAACAAGCTGGAGTATGTCAAGCGACAGATATTTTCAGAAAAAAATAGAATCACGAGTTGTATTCCTATGACTATTTCATGATTGAGACAATGAACGAGCGCCTTGCGAGAGAATATCGTTAATTCTACAAGCATAAAACCGAGATAAAAACAGATGAAATAATTGAAAAATTATTGAAAATTCAATTGTTGGATTTGCAGAAAATTACTAACAAAAAAATCGAAAATAGGTTCAATGAAGAGCTTTAAATTAGCCTCGAATTATAGTGTACTCAATATTCTTATATTCCATTAATTTGAGATTTGGTCCTGCTAGCTGAATGATTGAGTTAGCAAAACCTATGATTTTTTTGAAAAAACGATGTGCGAAAAAATCGGTAATAACCTAAAATGCGATGAAAAACAGGGTTTTTCCATTTAAAAAAATTAATTAGTACCCTTTAGATCGTTTGTTCCGAGCGCCCTGTATTTTCTGATGTAGCAGGAAAAAATTATCAAAAATCATTTCAAATAATTCTTCAAATTTTGGGATCGGTTCGAAAATAACTGAGCTAGAGGGGGGACATTTATGCACATACAATGAAACAGTACCTACCATCACATTGTACATATGCATAGATGAACATTCAGTATGAAAAACTCATTCTGAATGTAAATTAACTGTACATACAAGTGATACAATGAAACAGTACCTACCATTATCAAAAATGTACACAAAAATTCCAATAAATTTTCAATCTTTTCACTGATCTCTTGTGGATATGGCTTAACCTAATTTGAAAGAAGACCTTTGTATAGATATTTGAAATACCCCTCCAACAAGGTATGTACAATTTAAAAATTTCAAGGGGTTGATATGTAGAGTAGGAGGATGACAGGTGATTGAAAATTTTGATGTAGAAAAATATAATATATTCAAAAATAAAAATGGACCTGTCTGAGGATTTTTGAAAATATATTTTTGTTATGGTGTTAAGGATGTTATTCCATCATAGGTTCACATGCTGAATACTGTATGACCAGTTCTAAGTTATATACATATACAAAAAAGTTGTTTTATCTCAATGTCTCATTTGAAAATGGGAAATAGTGATATTTTAATGAGCTAACTTAAAAAAAAACATTTCTCCTATGAATACAGGGTATTTCAGTATACTCATTACTGGAATAGGAAATGTTTAAATTCTTGAACTGTATCTTAGACTAGGGACACATTTTATCTAGGAGATTTGTAATAAATCTCCATACTTTGAACTGAGGATTGCATAGTTTAAACTGTTTAAATATTTCCAATTAGTCATTGCCGGTCATTGCTGATCAAGTAACTTCAGAAATATAAAGGGAAAAGAGGAACCTGATTTTAGATTCCAATAAAAATCACAAGTGAATGATTTTGGAACAAAAATTTTTTTCATGACATTTGGAACACTCCCATTTGAAAGAGAGATAATTTAAGAATGTACTAGGATTTTCCAAAAATTCCATGTACTTTTGAATATTTGTCACCACAAAAATGTATGCAGTAGAAAAAATCATGTACAGTTTTCAGTGCTCCTCAATAAAGAGAAAAATATGTATTGACCAGAATATAAAAATTTCAAAGGATGTACCCCATTTTCAAGAGGGCAACACTCGATATACTATGAGGAAAAAAGGAACTTGACTACAGGTCAGAGAACAGACTAGAGGTCCATATTACCAAATTGGAGTTTTTTTGTAATAATTTCAAGAATGCCACCTAAAATGAATTGATTTGCAGTATTGAAATTGACTTGATGTACCTAACTAATATTATAGATACCCATATTCCCAACTCAAAAATATTGAATTCATATTCATTACATGATATGAGTTTTCTGACAAAACAAAACATGATGAAAATTTATACTTCCTTGCTCACAATAGTGGTATTCTTATTTCTCTTCCTATACTTTTACAAAATTGAAAGAAATTTTCCATGATTTGAAAACATATAGGGGAAACGGGAAACGTAATTTTCGTTGATATAGGAAGGGAAATACAAAGACCTGGAATACCCTTAACACTCGATTAGGCGCACCCCTAAAAGGAACATGGATAGTCGCTATGGATCTGAGAATCCGAATGTGGAAACAATGATAATTTTGAAAAATATCAAGGCCTATCTTATTCATTTGGTGGATTAAGATCAATAAACTTCATTTTTAATACAGGTGTTTATTGAAAAAAATAGAAACAAACAAAAAATTATAAAAAATTAATTCTAGCATTTTCAAAGTTAGAAGGTAATTAGAACTGAGGAAAAAATTAGTCAGTCGTCCTCCTCGTCAGAATCGACTGCCTGTTCTTTTTCACAGCCACCAGTACACGTAAAGGAACAGTAATACACTGCTGTAGATGTACAATAAAATTCAATAATAATGCAAATCAAATAAATCAAAAATACTTACAAATTTGGTCGCTGTGAATCTCATAGATCCATGAGGTATCTACGGCAGTGAATGACACCACTCGAGAAGTCAAACCAACACTAAAGTGTGACGCCTGTTAAGGTAGGAGGATACTGTAACGGATATTCTCCTACTCCAAATGACTAGCGCCATTCGGCTAAATATGAAACCAGTGGATCTCACAGATCCCGCGCGACTAATCGAGTGTTAATGAGTTCAATGCTGATCTCTTCAACTAACTACTTATGAGGCGAAAATTTTCAAAAAAATTATGATTGTATATTCCGTAATTAACTTTAATGGAAAATCATATAACTTACCAATTAGGACTACTGTACCGACTGGAATACCCCCACCTGAAAATATAAATGAAAGAAAAACATTATTATAATTATAAATAACCATTACAGAAAATGTCTAATATTACAAAACTACTAGACAGTAGGAGTAGACAGTATGAAATAAATGTCTATTAAATTTGAAATTGGTTCCATGTATTACGAAATATTTTATACCGACAAAAAGAACAAAGGAATCAGGATAACCTAAAAATGTCTCACCTAAGAGATTATCTAGGGAAGGTATTCCAGAAGAGATCAACAAATGTCCATTCTGGGCACTGTATGTAGTCCCTGGAATAACTTTGTGGCTTTTCTTTTCCATCAATCTGCAATATTTTTATTAAAGATAACTTAATTTGCCGAAACTTTTTGTAGTTCAGTTCACTCTCTCTTCAACTTGCCGATGTTCTTTCATCGACCAGCGACCATCGTTCGATTTCGATTTTCACTTTTCGGTTTCGGTCGTTCGTCGTTCTTCCTTCCGCGCACGTACGCTCTTCTTCTGAAACAGCTGTTTTGCCAGTGTTGCCAGCTGTTCTCTGAAAGAGGTCAATATTCTCCTAAACAAATGGAGGATGTGCTCTCTACTTTCTCAAAATGCTTGGTGACGAATTGATGATATTTTAGTCTATTTCACAGATTTATGATTCCCCTTGTCATGTAGATCCGCGTCACATTCAAGAGGTTCTGAGGGTTGTTTCGGCTAGAGTCACTGTTTCGGCAACTTTAAGTTGGCGAACTATTTTAACAAAATTTGATATTTTTGAGAAATCGAAAATATTTTCGAAAATATTAATTGGTGAAACAAAACGTCGTACGCAAAAACGTTCAATTCTGTTTTGTAGAGCTTAAGAAGTAGCGATGAGAAAGTATGTTTAAAGTTGCGTATTGAATATACCTGACCCTGAAAATTGTGGGAAAATATAGAGATGAATAAATAAAAAGAAGGAAGACATATCGAATCATCGATCCCCGCGAGACCTTCGACGGTAACGGTTAAAAATGTCTCTCGCAAGTAATTCAATTAGTAGCATACTGATGTGCTGCTTGTTGTGATGAACAAGCCAACACACGATAATTATTATTTCTTCATAGTTATAGAAGTAGAACCTTCTAGTAGCTCGATAGCTCAGTGGTCTGTGTATCTGATTTCTACGGCCAAAAATCGCAAAATATATAAACAAAATATCACAACATACACAAAAAACACGGACTCATAATATGCATCAACCGATGTTTTTAGAGAACCTGGAAACCTATAGATGGAAATCTCCACGGAGTTACGGACTCGTCCAAGACTCCAAGTAGAATTCAGTCATCTCTATTCCCCAGGAAGCGAAAACAAAATAGTGTCCCTGCTACACGCAGTGTAGCATGGCAGCATGCTACTTATTGAATGACTATCGAGAGACGTTTGTTAACGGTTGAATTATTGTAACGAGAAGTTGTCTGAGAGAGAGAGAGAGAGAGAGAAAGAGAGAACGCATGTAATAAGACAGGTGGTGGGGGAGTGTTGCATCGCGTTAAAAGCGACTGGCCTTTCCTTTCTCGTTGCTCACTTGGCCATTGTAATTCTGGCTAACTTATGTACAAAACCTCGCGTCTAATATAAGGAAGCAAACAATCTTTTCTGCATAAAATGAGATGAGACTATTTTTTCTAAACAATCTGAGCTATCTCTGACTAAATGGAGCTTTTTCTTGAGGAAGGAAAACGTCGTTTCTGCATAAGAAATGAGATCACTTTTAATAAGCAATCTTACCTAACTCGGCCTGAATTAACTTTCGTCCTAAAAGTGTATTTTGCGCAAAACCACTTGAGAACATAATAATGAATAGTGCCATCCGGATGCTTTAAAATTGTGGTATGAAGAAGATATTCAGTCCGTGCGTTGAAACAAGCAGTTGCTCGTCCAGGCTAGGGTCCCTTGATGGAAATTGACGTTAAAGTCATCTTAACAGGGTACGGACAGATCATAGCTGCATTCTTTTTTAATGATCTAGAGACTTTAGTTTTGTCTACTGGTATCCCTGACATTGCTGTCATGTCACATCCATGGGCGCTACTGAAAATCATTCTAAATTGTAATAATAGGTATGTACAGGGTATTTACTTGTTGAGGAATATCATATGGCGAACGAATTCAAAATTGGAAGGTATCTGGGGTTTTCCGGGGTTTGGGATAATGATTGTTTCGTCATACTTGCAAAATTCAAGATTACGGATCCAATATATACCGAAAGAAATTTCTAATTATGATCTAATTCCATTTAAGATTGGTATCTGGGGGTTCTCGGGGTTGAACTTTGATTTTTTGTCAAAATTGGGAAATTCAAGATATCTATAATCCGATTCTATTCAAAAATCAAATTTGACATATTGGGATTTCGTGGGTCGGAGATTATAATTATCTCGTCTTTCGTTACTTTCATCAATAAATTATTCGAAAATGACTTGTTATTCAAGGGAGACGGAAAAATCAGGTAAGGTATATTCTATTCTTCATTTTCCTACACATTTTACTTTTTATCAGCCTACTTTTCGTCCTAGACGAAGTTTTATACATAGTGTGATATTAGTAACTCCATAGATTCTTCTCAGAGTTGGATTTCCGAAAATATGTTTAGCACACATGACATGAGTACATTAGTTTAGATACCTACATCGAAGTTTCCACCATTTCTCAATCATAATAAGGCTATCTGCTCATTTCACTCATAGATAAACTACTGCTCAGCTTGACATCAGAATTCATTCAGTCGATTCAGTCAAACCTGGTATACAGTCTAAGAACAGTCTCTTTTGGTGAAATATATTAAGCTTTCGGTACAATTTATGTTCCCTACCTCGCAGAGATTATGCTGGAGTGGTAAACCCTTAAACTAGAGGATTGTTCATCTATATCTTGGTATAGTTGAATTAGGAATTCCATATGGAAATTACGTATGATACGCCAGTGACCTCAATATAACCTAAAAAGCAACGAATGCCAAAAATCTAGTGTTTATCCCCAGAATTGAATAAGGATGGATCTATATAACTGTTTCACAAACACTTTAGAGTGAGAGGAGACGAGGATCTGTCCGTACCCTGTTAAGATGACTTTAACGTCAATTTCCATCAAGGGACCCTAGTCCAGGCCATATACGTTCCCCCATTATTTCTAACGTTCTCTCTGCAGGCGCCTAGGCACTGGCAACACTGTCTGTTTTCTAATTTTCACAATGAATTACTCAAACAACCATGACTTTTGGTATAGAGATAAATTTGAACCAATCAGAGCGATTATCACAATGGCGGTTGATTCGAATCTCAATCCTTCCTTATCTATACGAAATCGTCGACCTCCTATTAACGAGTGAGTTTAATGTAAATGGAATCGTTCATTAATGACCCCTATTAATGATCAATTTGTCTATTAATGCACGATTGTTTTATAGCCAACCAAACATACACCGCGTGCATTCATGATTTATGCCTGTGTTTATGCTATAACTCACGGAATTTGCATTTAAATCGAAAATATGGATTTCATCGAAGATTTTCCGTTAACGGGTTAGCCTTTCCAAGTTTCTGGAACGATTTTAATCCCTGTTTTCTAACACAAGGAATTTATATTCTATGTTGATCATTTCGACAAAAGTCAAATGTCACTAATGTCAGTAACAAGGCTACTGGGTGATACTTAGTATTTTCCAGATGAATGATGAATTCGCGAATCAAGTTTCCTTCTTTGTAGGAGAAATGAGAAATGTAGTCGACGGAAATTTTTTGTAACCAACTCGTATATTAAAAGGCGATTAATGATCTCGAAATATCTCGATCATCAATCGCCCTCATTAATACACTATAGTTGGTTAAATACCTACGTATTAATGTACTCTGTCAGCATTTCCTTCATATCCGAAAATTCCATCGAATCACTATAACATGGATGTTGAAATGTCTTAAAATTTGTATGATCCCGCCTTCGCTCAACTGCTCCATAATATCACGTAGGGTCACCAAATTGTGGATACAATTGATACAAATTATAAGACTTTGGGTCGTAATTATATTATAAAAATGTCACATCAATGTCAGACTATATAATCATGATATACCAAGTATACAGGGTGTCCCGAAATTAGCCTGCCAAACTTCACCAGCGGCTTTTACTACCAAAAATAGAAAGAATACTTTCAATGAACATAAGTCGAGAAATGCCTACTAAGGGAGCTTTGGCCCCCGAATGGGGGCTCCTGAAGATGATATATCTTGAGTATTTCCGAAATTCCATTCTGCAATGAAGAACACTGTATATACCTAACCCACCTTTGCAGAGAGGGTTCATAAACACCGAATTGATACTCTCCCCTCGTAAGGGTACCTGTCATGTTTCCATAGAGACATAAAGCTGAATATCTGTCTTATCTGTTTTCTTGAGAATCTGGAAAGGTAATCAATATATCGCCTTCCGTACGAATACAATGATCTGAATTCTGTAAAGTATACTCTGGTCAGGTTTCTCTTTGAGGATCTTCTGTTCGGTCCGTATTTACTGGATGGTTTTCTCCGATTGAGTGGCAAATATCAAACACTGCTTCTTGGATCTGCAACTAAACATCACATTCAAATCGAAGTACATTTGAATCAGAAAAAATCATTAGAGGAAATACATAGATGTTGAATCTGAGACATACCCGAATAATCTGTTTTCTTGAGAATCTGGAAAGGATATCAATATATTGCCTTCCGTACGAATATAATGATATGAATTCTGTAAAGTATACTCTGGTCAGGTCTCTTTGCGGATCTTATGTTCGATTCGTCTTGACTTTGTGGTTTTCTCCGATTGAGTGGCAAGTATCAAACACTGGCTTTTCGGATATCTGCAACTAAACATCACATATTAATCGAAGTACATTCATATCAGAGAATGAATATCATTAGATGAATTACATGGAAGTTGAATCAGAGACATAACTGAATAATATATTCAATGTCCGTAACTGGATTGCTACATATCCGCCTTCTTTCCGAATACTGTTTTCTTCCAGTAGGCATCTTCCACATTTATACGTGGGTTATATTAAGGACCTTGAAGGCCAAACGATGTGCTGCTCGGATCTAAAACTAAGGATCAATTTTAAATTTGAATCGTGAGACCTACACATAATATTGGATATAGTTTTCAACATTCGTAACTGGAACGCGATATATTTTTGTAATTCATCAATTCATCAACTATCTCAATGAAGACGAGGCAGGCAGATAAACAACAATTTTCTCTGCAATGAAGAACACTGTATATACCTAACCCACCATGCGTCTACCTCCTTTGCAGAGAGGGTTTATAAACGCCGAGTTGATACTCTTCCCTCGTAAGGGTACCTGTCGTGTTTCCATAGAGACATAAAGCTGAATATCTGTCTGTCTGTCTGCTTGAGAATCTCGGAAGGTAATCAATATATCGCCTTCCGTACGATATAATGATCTGAATTCTGTAAAGTAT